GGTGCAGAGATTTGAAGCCCAAACCACCAGCATATAGGGGTTTGCAAACTTCCTTCCAAGACATCCATCTTCTACCAGAGTAATTTCCTATCCATAAAAACTTATTGAAACATCTTTCAAGGTTCAAAATAGTACTTTTTTTTGGGTTGAAGTACTTGAAGAGTGTATAAAGGAAGAGAGTGAATGATGCTCCTGAGCAGTGTACTACGACCCCCAAAGGAAAGGAAATTATTTTTCCAATCCTAAATTTTTTTCTACACCTTTTCCATTATCTCATCAAACTGAATACATCTCTTCCTGCCTTTAAGGAGGAAAACCCCTAGATATTTAAGAGAAAGGGTAGAGAGGGAGAAGCCCGTAAAATTGGCAATCCAGCATGCATTAGAACGATTGACCATGTTTCCCAAGTAGATGTTACATTTATTAGCATTACATAGTAGGCCGAAAACGGATTGGAAGTCAACTATCAAGCTGTGAATCTCCTTCACCATTTTTTTGCTAGCATTAGAAAACAATATCATGTCGTCAGCATCAGCTAAATGAGTGACTGCCATGTTAGATTTATGAGCGTTTTGCAAATTGGGCTTTCTCCTGAAAAGATTGTTTAGGAGACAAGAGAGATAATCAAATATTAAAATGAAAATAGTAGGGAATAAAGGATCTCCCTGCTTAATCCCACGGCCCGCACTAAAAAAGCCCCGAGATTGGCCATTAATGAGAATAATATATTTATTGCAATGAAGCCAAGAGAGGATAAATTTGCAAAACTCCTGAGAGAAACCCCATGCCTTAAGAACCTTCAATATAAACTATCAATTGATAGAATCATAAGCCTTACAAATATCCAATTTAGTGATCATGTTGCCCCCTTACATTTTTATCAATGTCAAGAATGAGTTCATATGCCAGCAAGATATTATCAGCGATCCTCTGCCCCTGAATAAATGCGGATTGATTTAAAGAAATTAATTTGTTGAGGTGAGGTTGAATGCGTCTGACCAAAATTTTACTAATCAACTTTGAAATAACAGAAGTCAGAGAGATGGGTCTAAAATGATCCCAAGAGCTCTTTTGAGTATTTTTGGGAATGTGAACAATTGCAGCGGCAGAGAAATAATTTCCTGGTGTTTCCCCTTTAAAGAAACTCTGGATAACCTCCACTACCTGATTCTTAACAATACTTCAGCATTTAATGTAGAAAGCAGAAGTGAAGCCATCCGGCCCCGGAGCTTTATTACAATTAATATCCATCAGAATATAATAGATTTCCTCAGCATAGGAAATATTGCAAAGATCAAGGTCTCAGGGCCCACCATGTGATGCCGTACACCATCAAATAAAGAGGCATCAACAGAGCCGAGATCTCGTGGAACTCATAAAGTTTAGAAAAATAAGGAACTGCACCCTCCCCTATCTCCTCATCCCCAGTAATCCAGTTCCCCTCATAGTAATCCAGTCTCATCCCCAGTAATCCAGTTCCCCTCATTGTTTTTAATCCTCACAATAGTGTTATTGACTCTTCTTTATTTAAAAACATTATGAAAATATTTAGTGTTTCTATCTCCTTGAGAGAAATGGGTCTCCCCAACTTTTTGTTGCAATAACTCCTCCCAAAGAGAGACCTCTAGTAATTCTTTATTGGCTTCCTGTAAATCGTGGATGATATCATTAATATTCTCATCAAGAGCCTGAAGCATACTCACCCTATGTTCGGCCCTTTTGACTCTATCATGTACATCACCCAAAACATCCCAATTCCAAGACCTTAGAACAGCAGCCTTCATATGCAATTTCTAAAGAGTGTACCAAGCATCACACACCTCCTCACATTTCCAATTCTCAGCAATTAATCGCAAGAAATCATCATGTCTAGCTCAACCATTTAAGAAATGAAAGTGATAAGTAGAGACCTTTTTAAAATAATCAAAGGATAAGAGAGTGGGCTATGATCAAAGCCAGTTCTGCAAAGGTGTTGAACCTGTGAAAACCCATAAGAGGAGATCCACAGTTGATTAGCAAGGCATCTATAAAATCGTTCGAACAACTTACCCCTTTTCCAAGTAAATTTAGAACAAATGAAACCCAAGTCAGAAATGCCTGCTAGAGCCAAAATTTCATTGAATTTATTAGTTAAAGTGGTGTCAAATCTCCGACCACCTAATTTTTAATATTCATGCATCACCATATTGAAATCCCCTCCAACCATCCAATTTTGATTGATAGAAGAACTCATCTCCGAAAGTTTGTGTCAGAGATCAAATTATTTAGCAACATTAGAAGTCCCGACGTAGACAAAAGTAAGAAATCCCGAGAAAACATCCTTAGAGAAGAGAGTATGTACAAACTGTCTATCATCAGTAATGACATCAACTGTAATATGCTTCCTCCAAAACAACCAAATTTTGTTAAAGCAATTAGCAAAAAAAGAAAAATTTTTTGAATTTACCCAAGATACGGTCAACCGGAGAGGAGAACAAGGGTTCCAAAATAGCAAATGTATCAACCTTATGAATCCTTGTCATTAATTTGAGTCTACCAAGGGAGTGATGATCTGCAGCTCCCCTGATATTCCAAATAAGGATGTTAAACATGAGTAGACATATTACCCTTCCTAGAAGATCTAGGTCGGCTCCACCCATTTTCTCCATTTTCTCCATCCTGAAAAGTATTGATTCATCTCTAGCATATTATTCCCATTAGTGTGGTTTTGCACTCCTCTTGAACTCTATTCCTCCTTCTACGGTACTTTTAAACATGTCATTCATCCCTTAAAACTTTTGAAATATCTTCCAAAGGAGTGTCAGAGAGAGCATCAAAATGATGAGAATTAATAGAATTATTATCCATATTCAAAGCGTCAGGGAGAGAAGTCGAGCAAGGACAAGCCCCCTCGATAATAGAGATGATGATAGGAGGGTCCAAAGTAGGTAGTACCTGTGTAGTATTCTCAACCAGGGCAATAGCATTAGAGAAGGTAGGATCTTGGTTTTTATCAGCATTTGAAATAACAGGGAGAGAGGCAGAAGCCCCCTCAATATTAGAAATATCAGGAGGATTCGAATCAAATAACACCTGCTCAATTATACCCTCGACAAGAGCCGAAGGGATGATAGTGGAGTGGGACACAGCTGCTCAAGGATCATGATTGAAAAGATGAACTTTCAAAGATGGGAATCTAAGCCAGACTGGAATAATAGGAGTCTCTGCTTTAGGATCAAAATTTGCTGACCATTTTAATACCTTCATACCGCAGTCCTCAAACCACACCAAACATTTCGCAAACAGGCGCGTATAGTCCTCTTCATTAGACAGTTGGATCAAAATGTATCTTCCATCCAAGGGACCTATCTTCCATTCTCCCGTAAGCCTCATCAATTCAAAGTGTTTTCGAAGAAAGTCCAATTTTGGATACCCATAGAGGAACTTCCCTACCAGATGAAAAAGGCAGGAGGAGGCGAGTTCATCGTTCTCGGCATCAGAGAGGAAGAGAGCAAGCTTTCCCCCTTTCCGGCCAGGACATCTAATCAAGGAAGTATTGGAATTGAGCTCGAGATTGTCGTAGAAAGCAGAAGTGAAGTTTGGAACACCATCAGCGACAACGCTAGCATAAGAACGAAGTCTTTTACCAGTGTCACCACGGCCGCCGGCCGTCGCGCGAGCCATGACGAACAATTACTCGTGTCGGCATCGAATTGCAAACCCTAACAGAGACGGAGGCGGAAACATCGTGCTTCAAAATATTACCCCACACACACACACACAGATATATATATATATA